TGCCAAGCACTTTTACCCTGGGCCTGTTAGGCGTCAGTTACCTGCCATCTGTCCCATTCCTGCCTTCTCTGGAAGGTCCACACCCTCTGTGGAAACTGACAGAGACAGGTGTTGGCTTTGGTGCCTCCAGGAGCCAAGGTGATCTCAGCTTGGAAACCCATGCCAAGCTTTTGAATTAGGAGTGAACACTGCAGAGGACGCCAGCTTTGGCTAGGCGTTCCAGCCACGGCAGCTGGAGGAGAGCCTATCCTCTAAAGATGGAGGGAACAATTTCTCATCCTATAGACCATTTATAATCAGATCTTGACATTGCCTGCATGAGGAAGTAGGTTTGGTGCCACGGTTCAGCAATGGAGTGTTTGTCTAGAATCCCCCAGTGAGGGGCTGGGGGCGTGGCTCAGGGGTAGAGCCCCTGCCTAGAATTCCCCAGTGAAGGGCTGGGAGTGTGGATCAGTGGTAGAGCCCCTGCCTAGAATCCCCCAGTGAGGGGCTGGGGGCGTGGCTCCGTGGTGGAGCCCCTGGCTAGAATCCCCCCGTGAGGGGCTGGGGGCGGGGCTCGGTGGTAGAGCCCCCGCCTAGAATCCCCCAGTGAAGGGCTGGGGGCGTGGCTCCGTGGTGGAGCCCCTGGCTAGAATCCCCCCGTGAGGGGCAGGGGGCGTGGCTCAGTGGTAGAGCCCCTGCCTAGAATCCCCCAGTGAGGGGCAGGGGGCGTGGCTCAGTGGCAGAGTACTTGGGTTCCATCCTAGCACACAAGGAAGAAAAAAAAAGGAAGGAGAGAACGGAAAGATGAAAGTAGAAAACCAGGCCACATGACTTCTGCCAGGATCGTTGAAATAGTCATTTTTCCATATCTCCGAGCTTGGTTCTTTATGTTTTATTGATAGTCTTGCAATTTAGCCTAGGCTGGCCTTGAACTTGGGAACTTCCCATCTCTGACCCCTGAGTACAGGGTTACAGGTGTGAACCACCGTGTCTGTTTCTCCAGGAAATTTTTTTGGAGGGGGAGGGCCTGGGATGGAGCTCAGGACCTCGTGCTTTTGGGAGGAAACACTGAACACTTAGCCATGTCCCACCCTTCGCGAGATGTCGCAGTTACGGTTACTAACGCTGTGACGAAACACCATAACCAAACACAACTTGTGCAGGAAAGGGTTTATTTGGCTTTCCTTCCACTGCTCTTCAGTGGGAGAAGTCAGGACAGGAACTCAAATAGGGCTGGAACCCGGAGGCAGGAGCTGATGCCGAGGCCATGGAGGGTGCTGCTTACTGATTGGCTCTCATAGGCTGCTCATCATCCTTTCTTAGAGAGCCAAGGGCCACCAGCCCAGGGATGACCCCACCCACGTTGGGCTGGGCTCTCCTGCATCAGTCACTAATTAAGAAAATGCAGTCAGGTCGTGGAGGCGCACGCCTGTAATGCCAGCAGCACTCGGGAGGCAGAGGCAGGAGGATCTCTGTGAGTTCAAGACCAGCCTGGTCTCCAGAGCGAGTGCCAGGATAGGCTCCAAAGCTACACAGAGAAACCCTGTCTCGAACCCCCCCCCAAAAAATGCAGTTAGGCCGTGGTGGCACATGCCTGCCATCCCAGCATTCAGGAGGCAGAGGCAGGCGGATCTCTGAGTTCCAAGTCTGGTCTACAGAGCAAGTTCCAGGACAGCCAGGTCTACAAAGAGAAACCATCTTTCCTCCAGCCAAAAAAAAAAAAAAAAAAAAAAAAAAAGTTATTGTGGATGTATTTTCTCAGTTGAGGGTCCTTTCTCTCAAATAACTCTAGCCTGTGTTAAATTGTCACGAAACTAGCTGGCACTCTGGGGGATTCTAGGCAGGGGCTCCACCACTGAGCCACGCCCCCAACCCATGACTGGGGGATTCTAGGCAGGGGCTCTACCACTGAGCCACACCCCCAGCCCCTCACTGGGGGATTCTAGGCAGGGGATATGATACCTCCAGGTCCCTTTGTGCATCTTCTGATGGAACCCTGATCCAGAATCCCTCAAGGAAGAGCCCCACCTTCCATTCCCCACCTGCAGCCATCCCAAGCAGTTACATCATCATCGCTGTCATCCGCTATTCTATTCTAAAGAGTGACTTGTGATGCGTGAGTGCTGAACAGAAGGGCAGCCACACCCTGTCTTAGTGACTGCAGGCCGTTGGCGACTGTAGCACGGCTCAGTTACTGGGGAACCTGTGGTGTCCTCATCAAACCGGTTCTGTGGAGAGGTTTCAGTTGGTGACCGTTGCTGGCTAGCGGCCACTAGCCTCATTGCTTTCCAAACCCAGTTCTCCAAGCTGCTCCTGGGATTTTGTGACTGACCCAAAAAAACTCCTCTCAATAAATCCCCCTGTGTTCCTGAGGTGGCTTTTATTACTCCATATCATTAGTTACTTATCTGTGAGCCAAGCTCTCTGGCACTCTTCCCACGGGACACTGATTCTCTACAATCTCGGTTTTTTTTTTTTTTTGACATCCCCTCTTCCTGGAAGCCTCCAGTGATTACCTTGACCAGGCGTGTGCTCCCTCTGGCTTCCTACCTCCTCTGACAGCCCCTTCTAAAGTAACTTGGCCCACCTTAGGCCATCCCAGATCTGCCTCCTCCGGTGCACACAGTGCATGTGGTCCAGTGGAGAAGGGGTAAGAGGGGGGCAGTGCAATGATGGACACATGGCAGGGGCTCAGCCTTGGCTGGTTGAACCTAAAGCCAATGGGCCCTGAGTCCCTCCGCAGTCAATGATGCTGCTGGGGAAGGAGCCTGCAGTTTGGCTGAGAGCAGAGGACACACTAGTTTGGGAGGAGGCCGGAGAGGAAAGGAGGGAGCTATCTGTGGCACTGCTTATCTGTGATCCCTGCACACGGGAGGGAGAGGCAGGCCGATTGCTGCATGGTGGAGTCCAGCCTGGGCTGTATAGGGATGCAGCAGGCTGTGGCATCCGAGGTCCCAAACAAACACATGATTCTTGGGTTTGGGTATCTGGTCCCATGAGGTGGTCACAGGATGATTGGCTGGGGACTGGTGCAGGACCGTATGTCTGATGGAGGCGCCTGGGGCTCCATTGGGTGGGATGGTCTAAGGGTGGGGGGGGCAGGTTCCTGAGTTAATGGAGGAAGGGGCTGGGTCAGGGCTGGAGACCACCCTACCCCAGGGACAAGCTCTCCCCTCCGCCCATGGCATTGCTGGTCTCCCTCAAATGCCTGAGGATTGAAGGGCCAGGATTCAGTTTATTTCAGCTCCATCACCCCTTCCAACCCCGGGGCTCTCTTCCTCCAGCCAAGGTGCCCTGTCATGCAGAAGAAAAGGGTGTTAGAGTTTTTATTTACTTATTTTTTTATTTGTCTTTCTTTTGATTTTTGAAACAGGGTAACTGCCCTTGCTCTCCTGGAACTCACTCTGGAGACCAGGCTGGCCTCAAATTCACAGAGATCCACCTGC